TAGAAATTATTTGCTATCTTAATAATGGCTATAACAATTTGAATCTGCTCGACTAGAGTTTCTTACTTGCAGCTGAATGTCATTTTATTTACGTTTTTTTCTTCTATTTCTTAAACACATGCATTATTTGTCTTTCTATATTTTTTTGGAGAAAAAAAAGTAAATTTTACTAAAAAATTGTTCCCCTATACAACTGACTTCCGTTACAGTTTATTAAGAAAAGGTAAGCAGAAAAGCAATGAATTCTTGATTTCTACTAGGGTTTGTTTTCCTAATGGACAGACATTGAATCAATTATCCATATTCATTGTTTAATTCTTTTTTAATAATTTTCAAAACAATAAATAAATAAATTAAAATTATATTAATATTTTTCATATAAACGCACCAGCGTCGACGAGTGACTTTAAATATAATTTTGTATCAAGCGCTTCATTTATAATTTATATATTTTTTATTTAAATGTCTCCATATTTAAACGCCTGTTGACCTATCCGTTAAGAAAAATAAACAGAATAATGTAAATATAGATATTTCAGTTTTATTTGTATAATGTAAATATGTGTAAAATGTATCTATATCTATTGTTTATATCTTTATAATCAAAAATCACTTATAATATATAATTAAATTTAATAAAATTACTGTTTACATTTCAAATCTATAACCGTGCTATATGTAAATACTAGATCAAATAATAAATAATTTAATAAAATCAATCAATCAATAAATCAATCAGTGAGTGAGTCAGTCAGTCAGTCAATCAATAAATAAATTAATCAATCAGCTAACAAGCCAATCAACCAACTAACCAAACAAACAACTAACCAAATAAATAAATGAATAAATAAATAAATAAAAAAAATAAATAAATAAATATAAAAGTTAATAAATATGCAAATATACATGTTACGACTTTTCTTAAAAATATTTCAATTTCATCACAATAACTTCCTAGTGTCATTGAATTAATATTCCCAACTAATAATCAATAATACGTTTTTTTTAACCTAATCTTATACATGTAGCTATCTTTAACCCTAAAACTGCTGAATGTTTGTAATGAAATGGATTTGTCATGGTAATTTGTAATTTCCAGCTTTGAATTTGAAACAGTCTATTTGAAGTTATAGAATTTTATTATCAAAGTACAACAATTGCGTTTCTTGTAGAATATAGCATGTTCTTATTGCACTGTTGCTATTTATATCAATGCACACATTCTGTTTAAGTTCAATTGCACTCAGGTTAATACAAATCAAATATAAAAGCGAAATTTTCATTAAATAAATTAAGAGAAAAGGGGGGTGTTCACAGTCATGAGATGGAATGGTCAGGAGATGGTTTATATTTGTAGAAATCTCCCATCTTGTTAAGAAAATTAATCATTGTTAGACAGTAGTTTACTATAGGACTGTCAACCGTAAAACACATTACGTTATATTTATTCATATCTTATGCATGCGCAGAAATAATTAATAGCCTACACAAGAATGATATATGCTTTACGCGAGCTATGTTTATTTGTATGTTAATGTAAGAGTAATGTAAATATTTGAGTAATGTAAATGTTACAGTTACATATTAAAGGGATAAGAGTTAGGTTACAACAATACCAGTTTGAAATATATATATTCGTTTGGTATTATAGCAGATGTTTTCTCCCAAGAAAAAAATGTTCTTGCAAACATAACATCAAACCTTTATCAAAATACCACACAGAAGAATGTTTAGGATCGCAATTGATAGTAAAGATTTTTTTCTCTATTTCAGGCAACCCCTTACATAGATAAATTCATTTTCGTTTCGTTCCCAGTTGCAATATCCTTCACTTTGTGTGATATCTTTTTTAATGTTACAAATGTCCCCATTATTACCAATTTTTAGATTGAAGAATTTGCATAGATTGCACTAAGATTTTTTTTAAATATTTGAGCGTTTCATAGATAATTTGACACGGAAATCTTGATAAAAAAGGCCACGAGTGTAATTTTTATTACTGTTAAATACGATTAAAATGTCTGAGCATTGTGATGTTGTAGTTTTTGACACAAAATGTCCACTTTATTTGACCCTTCATAACAAGCGATCAAAGGACATTCACTTTTAAATGTGACATTTACAGGGTCCAGACCATATTTATGACATGAATTGCTTTGCACTAACTACCACCAGTTTATTCAATTAAAAATTTTAATTTAAAGAAATATTCAAGTGTCGTAGTAACATTGAAATATTCAATCAAACATAAAACTATGACAAAGTATCAATATAATATCAATTAACGTTAAATCTTCTTTAAAAGTGATACATTTTTTCTATCAAATTTAAACTATAAACTTAATCACTACATCAACAAAATATTTAATGATATTCATCCTCACACGTTGTTATAATCAAGTAAAGATATAATGGATTAATTAATTGAAAATTTAACACGTTAATGATATTACGGTTATAACCTAAGGTAAAAAGTAATTCAAGTTCACTGTTGATATAACTTGTCTGTTCTCAGCAAACATGACACATCGTTATATCGGCCAACTTTAGGAACACACATTGTCTTCAAATGCAACAACACGTTTAGCAGTTAAATTAACGTTTTCGCTGAATTCTTAATTCAGACACGGTCATATGTGCAACATAATTTCATCCTGGACGGTGATAATTGATTGATTAATTAATTAATTCTTTTTTTCACGGCTGATGAATGTGTTGAAAAATATGCAAGATGACACGTGCTCAGTTGAAGAAGAGTGAATAATTTAAGGTAAAACGATGCATGGCTACTGAGAAAAGAATGGAAACATCCAAATCATGCTTTGCACATTATTAAAAATGTAACTTTGCAGAATTAATCAGACTTTTACTTAATCATATCGCTATTTCTTTACGTATAAAATAAATAATAGCATACTGATTTTATGATGAAATTAATTATATATATATATATATTTAAATTTCTTTTACTTAAGTCTATTATAAATTATTTTGAAAAAAAAAAAACACAAACAAATCACATGATTTTAAAATCAGTCAAAACTGTGTAATATATTTTTATGTTTTGTATAATTATATATGTAATTTTCAGGTTACAGCTAATTGTACATTGTTGAAATATGGTGAGGGCACTTATGACATGCCAAAGGTTCGTGTTAAACAATTATGTGTAATAAATTGTATTTATGTTATGCAAATATTTGAGATAAATCGTGTCAAAACATAGAAACACGAATCATATAATTTTAAGAACACGCTCGTTATAACAGTAAAGTAATATTGCATTATTTTGAAATAAAAAGAATAAAAAAACACTATTTTCAATTTGTATTACAACATAAATTCAAAACTTCAAAACAATTTTTTGAGATACATTTACTTGTTATAAAACAAACTGAGAATCATTTGCACATGATAAAGTAATGATGTAATTTGTTGCATTTTACAGATTTGATCGGTTGTCTATTTCATTATCATCATTATAATTAAAAATGAATCAAGTTTATTTTTCATTCAAAATTATAAGTTAGAGTAGAAAAATATATTTTTGTCTAATTTTAAGGTGTTAACACAACATAATATATTTCCAGATATTACTTTTACCATAGATTATAGTATTATTAATTAATGTGTTAATTAATTAACGTGCTCATTCAATTTAAATTAATAAAAATTATCTATTTAAATGAAAAAAAGTAAAGTATGAATATTTCTAATGGAAAAGTATATACGAAAGTATTTAAGAAAATAAATATTTTATAAATAAATATTGCTTACTTTCGCCTTGATATAATTTTTTTCAGTATCTGAAATTTGATATAGTTATAAAGTTTTCATCCTTATTCTTGCGCTAATTATTATGCTAAAATTTTTCAAATTCGGAAAAAATGGGTGCTGAAATTTCCACTTTTGTCGAGTTGCCGACAATTGAAATGAATATTGTTTATATTTGTGTCTGTCTTTATGTTACACACACATTGCGTTTATATTTTTTTTTTAAATGCAATACTTTTCAATTATTTATCATCAATTTTATTCCGTGAATTTTTCGGCACATTTATTATTTATAATTTACAACTCTAGGGACCGTATGACTAATCTAAAAAGAACGAATGTATACATGAGAAAACATTGAAAATCCTCTTTCATGTTAATTTAGATCGGAAATAATCGATTATGTTGATTAATTCATCCGATTAAAATTGTTTTGTAGTGATTCACAAACGCAAACAACTATTTACACAATTTAAATCACCTATTACAACAATACACAAATTTACAAACATTAAAAAAATGATAAACATATCAAAGTTTGTTTATTCTGATATAAAATAAAATACCTAAGAACAATTTTAAAAGATATTTAGGCTTTTTTTATAGAACCGTTTGCAAGTATGTGAATTTTTATTTAGCAAACATTCAACATATTTTTCTTATGAATATTTTGATAATTGTTACCATTGATTATTCAAAAAAAAATAAAAAGAACATGTAAATAGTACTTCAAATAAAAAGTGAATTGTAAAATGTATTTACCTAAAAAATGTGTTTTTATACCATGATTATATCACAGACATAGAAATCAAATGTAATATTTCTTTTAGAAATGAACACATGCGACACTGACCTTAAATATGACCAACACAGTGGACATTAGTACAGCGATAGATCATAAAACCAAGGTGTGTAATTTATGTGTAATTTTGATAACTTTACAACTGACCTTAAAGTTTGCTTACCTTTTGCGAAAGTTTTATGATTTTGTACCTAAAGATTACCTAAACATGACGATAAATAAAGATAGAATGATGTTGTTTTTTTAATATATGAAATTGTGATGAAACAAAAGTGCATATGTTTTTCTATATTTAATGAGAGCGGTATTTCAAAACAATGTAAAAATATCTTCTTGTTGAGATAACATTTGAATTGCTTAGTGCTTTCAAATTAGGATGTCTTTGCATAATGTATCTAAAGATAACATCACATCTAATTCTTACCAAAATTGTCGAGGCCTATAAAAGCTTTACTGGACATTGCCATTAAGGCATCTAGTGGTGAAACGTCTTGATCATGTATGCTTATAGAGCCATCGCTGACCTCATCCTCGCAACCCTCAACGTCTATCTCCTCTTCGTCCTCAGAATCAAACTCACATCTTCTCGATTTATTACACAGTTTTAGCAAATAATTTCTGTTTTCATTCCGAAAACTGGTTTTATTTTGGTCTTTATCTGTCTCTGAGCTTGTGCTTGATTTTGGAGAATAATTCCATGGCCGTATTATGTTCTGCTCAATCTGTTCATACTTCTGAGGTACGGGATCATTTCTTTTCAATTTTTGTGCATTATATGTTTCCTTGTCTGTTTTGTTAATAGTTCTTAAATCTGGACTTGAAACAATACTATGTTTACGTTGAACATTACTATCAATTCTTCCTGATATCTCAGAACCTTCCGAGTCGCTTGTATCCGCTAAAATGTCATTTATTCTAAACGAAGTGAGCGGTTTTCCGGGATTTTTAGACCCATGCTCGACCATTGCAAGTCTTCGGATAGGTTCAAATGGGTCGCAAATAGACATCCGTTGTTGTTTTTCCACCCACATTTGATATTGCTGTAGCTCCAAAAGCCGTCTTGCATCTATCAAATTCAAAGAATGCCAAACGTTACCGCTTTGAAGATACATGGGTACGTTAAAAAAGAATTAATCTTAACCACGTATAGTTGCTTTTAATATTCTGTCAAAAGGAATCGAAATTAAGATATCAAAAAATTCCTTTGTTGTCATTACATTGACAGACCCTCGTAAAAATATTCCTAAAGTATTAACGGCACACTTCTAATTAAATTAATTTCAAACACAGACAACTACGTCCTCATTTGTTCAATTCATCATCTATTAACCTCTGGTGAACTTCTGTTTTTCATTCCTTAGATCAATTTACGTCTTAAATGCAAGCTTCAGCGTTTCATAATGAAGATGAATACTTCCTTATATTTGGTTTATTCCATCCATTTCGCATCAATAAGTATATGTAATGATAAATACAATTTACACGACGTGTAAAATTACATAAATCAAGTTAATTTGATAGGTAGGCAGGACGAGAAAAATTGAAGAGCCAATTGGAGACCTAGACTGTGCTCGTAGTCATCCAAAACAAGCCGAGCGTGGATTTAATTTATTTGAATACGTAATAATATTGTCCAAGATCACAACGATGTGTTAACGACCAGGTTCGGATGATGGTATTGATTTGACAACGCTGCGTTCTACAAAAATATTCTGTGGGTGGCCTAACTATCATTTCTTTAAGAAGATCTTTATTTTCAAATCTATTGACATTACTTTCTCTTTTTTTTCTACATCTTTAAATCAATTTTATTGTCTTCTATTTCTGAGGGAAATAAACTCCCTATCTCGCCCAGTGATTAATGTTACACATAAATTGTTTGAAATATTTTCGAATAACAATTAATTATCGCAATTTAGCCGGTGATTAACTTAGGAATGAAAATAATTAAAAATACTCACTATGAAATAGTAGATAAAGCCCTAAATAATTTAATGCATATTTAACCTGAATTATTATAAAAAAATCCAAAGCTAGGGCCATTTACATATCAATGATCTTTTTAAAAAAATGATCTATATAAATGGACTGACATGACTATGTGATGGCTAAAAGAATAAAGGTATTTTAGAAGGGACAGTATCTTAATAAAAATACGACCCTCGTTAAAGCTAGCCATCTCCTTATCAAGGATGATAGGTTTTGATGCAAAGAAATGATAACAACTTGAAATAATAAAGCACATGACATGACTTCCAGCTGTCTAAATTATGGTTTTCAGATAGACATATAAAGAAATAAATAAAAATACGAAATACTTAAAATTAAAAAGAAATACTTTGTTTAAACACAAGACAAGAAAATATTAAACATGCAACATGTCTGTTTTCCTTCAGTGTTTCCGAGGATCAGCATGTTCTAAAAAGAACAATCCCATACGCAAGAGGATTATTTCGCATGCAGTAATTCGATGCGACTTTGGCCTGCCGATTGCGTTTTTTTTATTATTATTTTTTGCTTTGTTTTTGTGTCTGAAATATAACTTTTATCATCGTCTTATGATTGATTAATATCAGTCAATTAAATTTTATAAATAGGAAATAATGAGGTATATTCTAAAGGAAAAATGCAACACTACTTTCCAGATGTCGATATACAAAATATTTTTGTGTGAATAAAACCAATAAATTTTGTGTATGAAAAAGTAAAGAAAAAGAAAAATATGGCCATATTTATTACTAACCATTGCATTGTAAATATTTCTATGATTCCGTTTTATCTAGATAACTTTTAATCATGACTATAATTCCTTTTAAAGGTGAGTTATCATTTTATTATTTCGGTATCATGTGGCTCATTTAGGTCAGAGTAAATATCTAAGTATCAAAGGGCGTTTGTGGATCTGTGTGAATTGGTTCTCGGCTCCTATTTTTGTACGGATCTCAACGTTTATTTACCTTGTATATGAAATATAATGGGAACAGATGTTTTGTTGGTGAAAAAAAAATAATTGACATTTTCTCATATTTTAGATCTCATATTTTGTTTATAATTATTACAGAATACTTTCAATTTTATCAAAATATCAAAGAATGTTTTTTTCATAAATATATCAAATGATGGAAAATTAATTAAATATAATTTATGGTAATGAATTTTTGTCATAAACGGTGACGCTTTATATAGTATGAAACGGATAATCGAACTTAATTTTGTGATTTAAAGATTTATGTATACCCCGTACGCTTGTAAACACGTATGAAAAAAATATATATCATTTCAACTAAATTATTAAATGATAATTGATTTATTATAATAACTAAATTATCAATAATGTATTGGTATGTGTCTGACTAGAATTTTTTACTTCTTTCCTTTAAAATTCGCATATACCTTAAGGCCTGATTTAAAATAAAAGCATAAAGAAATGTTAACTTCTGCACAAGATGTGTTTGTTTAAACATCAATTCAACAACAAATGGGGAAAATAAAAATTTGAACAGATATTCAAAGACAATAAATAAAAAGAAAAAAATATTCAGAAATATCTTAAAGTATAGAAAAGAAAAAAATATAGTTGTCTCAATTATTTCTTTGCATATCATAATTTTTAAAATCTCAACATGGGTATCATTTTGAAATTCAAAACTGTCACACAAGTGTCATAAGCTTTATGGTATGGAATATTTAAGAAATCGCATTTATTATTAGTGTTTAAATTTAAACCATTTCAGTTAAGGACAAATATGTATCAATAAAATAGTTGACAATATCTTTTTTGTAAAATTAAACAAATCTTATGACAAGTCTTGGCGGGGGAAATATTCATCAGAATATCGACCTTGGAGATATACGAATGTAAAAAGCCATCTAAGTACTTTTGAGCTAACCTGAGTAAGCAAGAGTTAGATAAAATCTTAGCCACACTATTTTAATTCTATTATGGTTTTATTACAGCGTTCTTCATCCAAATTTTTATGTATCAAATGAGATAGCTGATAGCTAATGAGATTCTAACCTCGTAAATAACAATTCTTATTTCAAAATGTTAAACTGGTAATGTATCCCTCTGCAAGGTTCACAAAGCAGAATGTCAGCGCCCTACTTGTAAATCATATGAAAATTGATGTTTCTTAGGACCACACAGCTCATGCTACGATATCATACACAAAGTTTGACAGATTTTAGAACCGATTTTACGACTTGACTTTTAAATTATGAGCAATATATGTAAACACAATGAAAGGCCACAGGTACAAATTTTATGACCAATTTTGAAAATTATAAGAGGCGTTGAGAAGTGTAAATGGAAGCTGGTGAATTATTACAAATAAAAATAGAATGACGAAGAGAAAAATGATCTTTTGATTTCCAATTGTTTAAAATCAAACGATTTAAAATCTTGTTGAGTTTTCTCTCTAACAATTAACATAAAGATAGCCAGCTGTGTATATCTTATTCCTATGTTTTGGCAATTTGTGCCAAGTTGCCAAGCTGCCATTGAACTAAGTGAAATGGTCAATAGATGAATACATGAATTACAGTGTAGTCATAATAAAGTTATTTAAGAAAGACATCTTTTAGTCGTTCATTTATAATTTTATTCATTTATTGGATTTTTTTTTAAATTCTATTATTCTTTTTTGAATAACTTTGATATTTTTATAAGAATAAATAATTCAATTAATTCAATGTGTAAACATATGATACTTGTTGTACAGTTCAGTGTGGTTAAGACTTTCTCTAATTGGTCATCTCGAGCCATTAATATGTTCATAATTTAAATTACGACATCTTTTCAACTGTACCGCTACACTGATGCGGTCTATAATTTTAAACCTGTATACAAAAAGATAAAATACTAATAAATACGTATAAGATCATAGTTATAATATACTAAATGAGGTAAGCATCACAAAACAATACATTTAAGAAAATGTCTTGTTGATAACGGGCATTTGCTAATAAATTAATTTTGTAGACTTAAGTGTTGGCAAAACAAACATGTTTTATTGATAGAACATACTCTTTCTTCTTCAGTGCTACTTATTTATACAAAACTTTCTGATTGCTAAACTATGAATATGTAATTATATTATAGGAACGTAACAGAACAAAAGAAATAATAAATAACTGATTAGAATTATTGCAGATCGTTGCTCGAAAAAATTCAGCTTGATCAATTGACAAATCATTTCAATATGTTATGAAATATTCTTTATTTATTACTTTATGAAATCTAAAAAAGTCATTCTTATTTCTTCAATTATCTTTTCAATGAAATAAACTGGATTGAATCTATAATTGTGCTCCATTTTCTTAGTAGTGATTTGCAGACAATAGAATAAATGCTTATATTATTTTAGAAAAGAATAATATTCTTAATATTATGAACCTTATAAATCTTGTATGGAACATGCGAATAAAGAAAGTTATTATACGTTATCAATAAATTAACGTGACATTACGCTTATTTTTCACTGTCATGTTGAGCATATTTAGTAATATATTTCAAAGGATTGATCTTCATATTGGTGATTGACCAGCAATTAAGAGAGTTGATAATGAAAAATTTAAAGGAAAAAATATATATAAACTTTCTAAATTATAAAAAGACTGCTTTTTGACTTATAATTTATTGCTACTTATACATTCCGAACGATAGTTATATTAATTTCACTAGGTCACGTGAATTATTGATAACTTTTACATAGTAAAATATAAAATGGAACACAAATACAGCAAAATATTAAGCTATTTTGACTATTACCTGTGCACTCACCATTTACACTTTGATTGGCAAAATGTCACTTTAAGACAACAGAATAAATTTTGTTGACTGAATAAGATCTTGCATTATTATCCTACAATCCGTTATTTTCTTATCTTTTAGCAAACATCTTAATATTGTATTACATTATAAGCAGTGCCTATGTTTTGATGTATAAATCATTGTAATAGTTAACTCATTCTGTATCTCATAGATCACAGCTTCGCTTTCATTTGTCGTAAAAGTGCCAATAAAGAGTAATATTTCATTTGTTGTGAATTTTCTGATTGCACATTTTATGTCACTACCATTTTGCATCATTCTACTCAGAAACAAAAAAAGCATGAAAGATGGTTTAACAAGACAATTAACCTGTTAAATTGAAATTGCGCATGCGTGTAATATAACATGATGTCATGATTACACGTGTTATAGAAATTACATAAAGGTTACTGCAGAAGTATCGCAAACATTAACGATTGTCTTCGTCAATTATGATTTCCGTATTTTCCAACAAATAACTTTTAGTAGCTAATATATTATAAGACTTCACGTAATTTACGTAAACTGGATGTTTTCCATTACAGTTAATATAATGCATCGGTGATTTCGAATTTTATGTCCGATAATGCATGAGGCAGAGAATGAACAATCCTTTTTGATGTAATTATGAACTG